AACCAAATATTTCGTTGTTTCTTAAGCTCATATAACCGACATATAATTTAAGCACGTGATTCTTCACACTTGCCGTCAGTTATTACACACTAGTAAATTTATCCGCGCTTCGCGCGGTGATTAATAAATTTACAAACAACTCTTTTTTTAATATGCAAATCTTATCGAAAAGAAGTCTCTAACCATACAAAAGGAAAATAATAAAAACAAAGCAATTCGTTATCAAACAGCAACACTAATCAATTTGCTTCTTGAAGTCGACAACACCAATTATCAACCTTCACCCGAGTGCTTGTTTCTTTTCACACTGATAGAGTTTCATATTCTACTAAGGAAAAAAATTCAAAAATACTTACATTGATCAATTAATGCAAAACATACTAAAAATATGAATACTTATAGACATTAATACATATCAATTCTATATTTTAACAAATACTCAATTGGAAGGGGAGAATAACCAAATAATAAGGCAGAAATCTACCAAAGTACTTAAAAAAAAGAACATGAGCGGTTAGTAAACATGTTCAAAACCTCAAATAAGTATTTTAATTTTATGGAAGTCTTATGGACGAAAAGTTATAGTACCGTATAATTTTATAAAATAAAAAAGGTTTTTTAAAATTTTGGAAAAAATAGATAGATAGAGTTTTCGACCTAAAACTATAAACATATAGGATTTTTAAATGTGTATACAGAAAGTTACTAAATATTGTAGGGTTAAAGACTAACTCCATAGAATAATTCTTTTTCTAATGTCACTGTTTTGTCATATTGAGACATCTTTCTCCTTCACATTTTTTATATCTAATTTCTCACTATCGTTAGACACACTCCCAATCTGGTATGAAATATTTGTCATGAGTATTACATGCACAAATTCACTTTCCTTTGTCTTAACTTAAACATAATTACGTGAAAGCAAAAAAGATGAAACTGGTTGTGTGATCGGCCAGAGAAGTTAATAAGTTGTTGAAAAAAGAATAGAAAGACAAAAGTATCAATAATTAGCTCATAACTTCTTATAATTGATTAACTATTATACAAAAAGTTTTTCTTCTTGATACTTTATTACATTTTTATTGAATATCATATATAGCTAGTAAATACAAAATTACTCCATAATGACCAAAAGTCGTTTTCCTTTTGGAAGGAATTAATACACAGCAAGCAGCCATTCTTTTGCACACAAAATCTTGATTTATTGCATCATCCAGTGCACAACTGAAAATTGAATTTAAGAATTAAAAAGGATGGGAGAATGAAACGTGAGATTGAGCACAAAGAGTCATTAAAAAGACCTAAATACGTAAATGAGAGGGGGGAAAAAGTAAAAGGAGACAAAAGATGAATACATTTTCATAACATATATGTACTCACAATAAGGATTTCTAGGCTTGAAGTTAAGTTGTTGCTTTATTCTGAGAAGCATTTCGGCCTCCAACACTCGCACTTTATCTAGTACTAGTATATAAACACCTTCGAATCAACCAAGAGGAGAGAATACTGTTGAGAAAAACCATGAATGTTCTAGTAACAATAACAGCACCACTGGTTATAACAACGGTCTATATTGTGGAACTATATTAACTCACTATATTGAATTAAAACATAATCGACCAAATACACCTTAAATGGTAATCATGGTATTCAAAGTAAATGAAATTATGAAAGAATATAGCAAAAACAACTTTGTGAATACGTAATAGAACACTTGACAATATATTAATTTTTTCCTAATTACAATGAACAATTTCACTTCACCTTTGCTCAAATGATGATAAATAGAGCTATATCTAAGTACAAGATAAACTCTAAGTATTTCTATATGTTCACATCTCAATCATAAATATCGTTGAATTATTAACAGGTGAATCATTCAACTAATACCATAAACATCATCAGCAAGTGGAATTAATAAACACAAGCATACACTAATCTCTTCATAGTCTCACTTTAACAGTAAAAATCAAGTATTATAGCTTTCAAATACATAGCACATAAAAAAAATCAACATTAAGCAAATGAGCAACCAAAAAAAAGGTGAGATAGAAAGTATTTATTTTTGAATTAGGGAAAATGTAGAAGACAAAGTAGAAGTGCAAATTGGTTTTCAATTTAATTTGATGCATAGCTAATTACACAGAAAATACAAATTAAAACGATAGGTTAGTTTCAAAATACTCGCTCTATTTTGTGTTATGTGCCTTTTTAGTCTTTAAATGTATTTTTCTTCCATAAGTTCATTGGCATATTTCAATAGCTTTTACTGTCGCACCCTAGTCTTATCTACCGTTTTCTGACCGAGTGGCTCCAAGTTAACATTTTAGAATTCCATTTATGATAGTAACCATCACCTTAATATAATTAGACCACAAGCCCAACAGCAAAAGTATAATCTCATAGATTAAGTAGATTTGATAGTAGTACCTGTAATAGTTCTGACTTCTGATGTAACAATTAAAAGATTAATTCATGGTAGCGCTTGATTCTCTTTGCTACAGAGTCTATTCAGTCTTTAGCATGAGTAACCTGTAAAGTCAAAAGAACGGCAATGTGCATCACTTCAAATTATTCTTACTATGTGTATATCAAATGCCAATTACAACACAGCAATATTTGGTACAAAAAAAGGCATTAAACTTTATGCTTACGGCAAAACAGTACTGACCAAGCAGAAAAGAAAAAAATATAGAGTTAATTACTAAAAGATAACAAAAACAAAAACATCGGAAGAAATATTACCTTCTAAAGCTAAATCATCATTGGATTTTAATATTTTCTCTTGAATCTGCACGAGAAAGATGATGAAATTTTTAGTATGTAAAAAAAGTTTTGACATAAAAGATTGATAAAAACTGATTGGCCAAAAGAAAAAATAAACCGAGGAACAAAAACAAACTCAAAGTAAAAGTAAATTTTAGACAAAGCATAGATCCGGTTGCATACCTCTCTTCCGACGACAAAACATTAACTCTGCAATCATAAATAATATTTGTGGACGGAAGAATAGAAAAAATAGAGAAGAGGGCAAACGAAGAAGATGAATGAATTTTGAGAAGTTGTCAGTTGTAACGCTTAGGGTTTTAGTAGTCTTAAAAGGTGCAATTATGTAGATAGTTAATTAGGTGACTTTTGGATTTTTTAAAATATCGCAAAATTAAAAAGTGGAAAAAAGAGCAAAAAATTGAGGTAAAAGATAAATAGAGATCGTGGATGTAGAGAGTGCCACATCAGCTCTCTCATTCCCTGCTTTATATTAATATATAGATTTTTGTCTCTGTATTAAACTGCATTATTTCATACATTATATTCAAACATAGAAAAAATTCATTGAAAGCTCTTTCGTGTTGAACTGAAGCTGACACCTCTTACTACTTGGAGACTTAACGCAACACCGGATGTCCCTTGCGGGCACAAAGTCCATCACTTTCAATATTAGTAGTATCATTTATAAAAGAGATATTCCAAGCTAACTTAATCAATGCCAAATTCTTGTTAATTTGAACTCAACTCTGTTGAACTTAGGAGATCATATACATAGCATGTGTACTTTATGGTATAGATCTCAGTAATCATTATATCTTGATACTTCCTCCAACTTGGCCTCTCACTTTAGTGATCCATTTATATCCTTTAATATAATATATATCAATATGTAATATTTAATCTTGATATAAATATTTATATTATTTTAAATTAATACTCGAAATAATTAAATTGTTTAAATATTTAATAATATTTCTAAGTATTATATAATAAAAATTCTAATATTTTGATCTAATTATTTGTGATTAATTTATTAAAAGATAAATTAAATTTGACTTTTTCTAATTATGCCATATGACTAAATTAGTTATTAGTCAATAGTTAATTAGTTATACATTACTTGTGGCTAATTTTAAGGCTGCCACTTGGCTTAAGGTGTGGATTTTTTCCCTTTCCTTTTAGTAATATATAGATATATGCGTTGAAAAGTTTTTGGATCCACACTGCCCGAGAATAAATAAAAAAAAAAAACCGAAAAAAAGAAGGCGTGGAAGATCAATGGCTGGAGCTAAAAAGCTGAGAACGAAGGGAGGCCACTCAGTGAACCGGGTAGAGTTGGATTCGTAGGCTTCTTTCATGAGGGTTTATTTCAATTTCTCAGTGAAAAAGGTCAAACTGGACAACAGTAACAAAGAGATTTCTGAATTTCATACCCGTGATTTAACACACATTAAAAGCATATCTTAATTTTTTTTTTTCTAGAGTGTTGTACTGCTAAGTTTTTAGATTTGCATTATAATTCAACCGATCACCTTTTTACTTCCAGCAGATGCAAACAAACATTTGCAATGAGGAAAGCACTCAGCAAACAAGTTTGGCAGCTAGCACCAAGTTGAGGATAAAGTCATGACACTGCATTTGCCTTTTAACTATTGTGCGTGAATCACAGAAGTAATAGACCTAAAATACCATTTATTTTAACGCAAGTAGGAGTAAACAAATCGGCATCCTAACCACCTCTGCAATGGGAACGCATTCTATGGGCTGGACAGTGGTTACTTCCGCAAACATAAAGCCAAAAGTTCATTCAATAGAGTCTGAACCTGGGCTATTCATTCAATAGAGTCTGAACCTGGGCTATCTTTCTATCAATAGCTATCTCTACAGGATGAAGCAACCAGATACTAAAGACTAGCAGCTATTAAACAGTGATATTAATATTTAACTGAAAGATAAGAACATGCATAGACAAGAATATCACCCACATAAACGAGGCAGCTAACAATAGCCGCAAACAGAGACTCAAAACAATGCATAAAAGTTCAAGCGGCTAGATACAGGCAAGCATTGTGACAGTAACAACCTATTACAGTATCAAATCCCATGAGCAAATTACTGCAATTTGTATCCTAAAATGCTAAAGAGATGAAAGAAAAACCCTGAAACTACGTATGATAACACATGTATCTATGCAGAGTATACGAACACAATGTATTAGATCGAAGGTAGTAAGATTCTATTGCAGAAATAAAGATAAGCTCCAGAAAGATCATAACAATATTGAGCTGAGTCATGTTTACATTATGAAAATTCTCACCCTTTAGAGATGAAATTTTGCACTCTCAGAATAGCTTTTCCATGGCATAGCTTATGCAAATGTGAAATGTTTTAGGTCTTAACATTGTTCCTAAACTCTATTTGCCTCAAGCATCATCAACCATCACCTGTTTGCTTTTCAGTATTATAAATGAGCTTCCAAGTAACTTGAAATAACTGACAACCATGTGCTAGATTTTTCTTCAGCTAGTCCAAAATGCTGATAGAATACCCCACCAACATATACACATGTGGTACCTACAATTGACATACAGACCCATAGTGTACAAGGGGATATCATTCCGTTTCATAAGCTGGACTCATGTAAAAGCATCGTTGCCAGAGTGACTTTGGACAAGAATATCCAGTGCTTTCCCATAACCAAAGTGTTCATTTAATATGATTATATAGATTGTCCAATACTAAATGGAACTAGACAACTGCATTTGCTACTACTCGGATCTGGTGACTGGAGAAGTAGAACTGTCAAAAACTAGCTCAATGCTTTGAGGTTCCAGTGCCAGCTGACCATGATAATACTTTGAATCTGTTATCTGTCACCCTTTCCACCTCCAAACCCTCCGTCTCATCTTTTCTCCTAAGAGTATAAACATAGTAGTTCTACCTATTTTACCTATCAATCAACCAAATGTGAATGTACTCAAGAAATTGTGCAACTCAACCAATCAGAATATCAAGAATTCACACTCTTGAGTGAATAGTACACCAGGAAAAAAAATCCAGATTCACAAGCACAATCCCAGATTTCTCTACCAATGAGAAGTGCTTGATTAAACATTTTAAAGGAAAAATCAGAAAATTAAGCATGATTCAATTTCAAACTCTGTTTCTCATTATTATGTCAATCCCGGTACAGCCTTCCGTTCTTTTTTGTTTTTTTTTTCTTCTTTTTAAGTGATGTATAAGGCTCAACCTTCCTTATCCTTTCTATTCTTCTGCCTTCCCTCCTCATTACCATCTTGCAAAGAAAGATATGCAGTGTTGGGTCATTTTCACAAATAAATTATATATAGGGATTGTAATACACGTAATAATAATCACTGAATTATTTGACTTGTTAATTGATATTTGGTTAATCGTACTAAAACTTGGATATAACATGATATATAATTTTAAGTATGTGTTTAGCTTAAGCCTCAAGGTTTGTTCCAAAAATACCCTAGGAGAATTTAAATTGCTTTCTCCAATTTAATATTTAGTCTTATTATCATATGTGATTAAGAGTAGTTAATATACAAAATAATCATCTTTTTAATTATCAAGCAAAAAATACTTACCTTTTTGTAACTTTAAGATCAATGCTACAACCACTATCAGAAACAAATGAGAGATAATGAGTAAGAGATGGTTAACTATAATTAATTAATTAATTAATTAAACGACATTTCTATCATTTGCGAGCTCTTAAACTTATAATGCTAAATTGCTAATACGTGTGTAACTCCATATTAAATTGGGTATAGAACAGCATCACATTTAATGTGGGGATAGGGACGAGAAATAGCAACAAGATATTGTACTTTTAATATGGAGCTCAGCATAGATATTATTTCAACTACAACATCCAACCAAACGACTCCCTCCCCAGACTTTGTGGAGAAGACCATATGAAAAGCAAAAATCTGGAAGAGGCAAATAAACATAGTTGTGTAGGGCAGAAAGGATTATGATATCAAACAAAAATGATACAACGAGCAGATAATTAATCCACATGAGAGGAAGAAAAATAACAAAAGCCAAAATATTTGATCACAAAGGTGATATTACAAGAATAAACGAACCTTTCCAGCTACATATAAAATTCAATAAACCATCAGCTAACAAGCTACAGACCTTTTCAATTGTGCAGTTGAGTTGCTAAATGTACTACCATGATCAAAGTGCTACGCGAATAAAGAGATACATCTACTACAAACTCTAAACTCAAAGAGTCAAAATTTGAATGTTTGTTAAGAACAACAAATAAAAATTATAAACAGTTTCAGATAGGATCTCTTACATTTTGCTAGTACACACTGCATATCCACAGGGAAAAAGCTTCAATTTGGAGGAGATCTGCCATCATGACAAAATTCAAAGCAAAGAATCAGATCGAAGGAGCCATCCAAGTCAGCAGCTCTCTTCCTAGAACTATTGATCCCTCCATCTTGGACTTGAAATGGGAAAGAACCCAGAAGGTGACAAAGGAAATCCATAACCAGGAGAAGGAGGAAATTGTGGTCCCGGGCCTAGAATCCCAGGTTGAGCCATGGGAGAGAAGGAGAAATTTGGTGTCAGTGGTGGAGGATGCTGCATACCCGGAGAAAGCAATGGATAAGGGGACCGGGGAGATAACAAGTTCAAGAAGCCAGTGGGTGACGGCAAAAGATACTGAGAAGTAGGTGAAGGCAAAGGAGGAGGCCCATTTATTCCCGGGGAAGGAAGAGGTGGAGGACCATTCATCCTAGGAGATGGAAGACCATTCATCCGCGGAGGTGGGCCATTCAGAAGAGGTGGCATTGAAGGATTAGGTAGTAAACCAGATGATGGTGGATGTGCTTGAAAATGACCAGGACCTTGAAATTGTGCTTGTCTAGGCCCAGAATCTATTATTGAATTCTGAAGATAACGCATATAAACTGAAATCGGAGACTCAGCTGTATTTGTCCAAACATCTCCAGGAGTGGGTGGTAACATTGGGGGTGACGGCTGACCATAATGAGGAGGCGGTCTCACAACATTGTTATGGTAAGGAACACCTCCTGCAGATTGAGCTAAGCCTGGGACCTGTGCAGGAGGGTGGATTGGGATTTGGGGACGATTTATTGGAGTCAAAGGTGGTGGCCGAATTTTTTGTAATCTCATGCTCTGAGGCTTTGAAGGATTCTGGGGAGGTCTAGGTGGAGGCTCTTGAGAAGGTGAACCTGTCAGTTGCTGAACAATGCTCCGAAAATCATTCTTGTTAATATTGTAAACCTGAGGTTGAGGTTGTGGCCTAGCACTATTTGTGTTGTTGAAATTGGGCTGGTGTATAGGACTCTTCTTGATATTCTTCCCAAATTTATTCACACCCAAATGATCTGGATTCCTATTATCCATCTCAATAACTTCAATATAATCACTGAACTCCAAAATATTTTATCTTTAAATCCCTCTTTTACAACACTGTAACTAAAAAGGAATTATATAATGCAACTCAAATCTTATACCACTGCAAAAGACCCTCCGCAAGTTTGATAACACCAAACCCTACACTTGAAATTAAAGAAATATCACATCAGACAGTGATACCCATACATCAACCAGCTTCAACTCCAGCCAAAACTTCTGCTTTAGTTCACAAAAGTAACGGCAGAAATTTCAATAAACAACTTATTCTTCCCAAATAATTATTCAATTCCCAGATAAAATATATTAATTAACTCTTCCAAAACAACAATTTTTCAATTTTTTTCTTTATAAATACTTGAGATCAAACGAGCATACAGAGTACAAACAACCCTAAAAAAATCCAACTTTTTCAGTTTCCCACTTACAATTTTCTCCCTCTATAATTTTCCGGAAACAGACAAGCCCTAAAAGTTGAAAAGGATAAGAGCAGAAAGAGACAGAGAAGAGAAATTACGTTCTGCTTACTGGGACAAAGCGTCGAGCATGCGAACTGCAAACTTATGAAAACTCTCAGAGCTGAGCAGAGCGGATGGTGGTGGTGGTGGTGGTGGAGTTGGTGGCTGTCGTCGGTCAACGAGGAAATGAAAAGGGAATTGAAGTTTGAAAACGAAGATGACGCGTTTCAAAGGTTTTTAAAATATCCACTAGTCTGCTAGAAATAGAAAGAAGAAAAGGTGGAGTCAGTGGGGGCAATAATGGGCCCGATAGGGTTGAATTAGAGTGACGAACCTGTTGCGTTAGTAGTGGGGGTGAATGGAAAATACTGATGAAGACGAGTCAAACCACGGGAGTTGTATGGTTGAAACTTGAAGCATTTACTAAATTTAATTTACAAATTTGTAATTTGTTAAAGATATTTGAAGAACTAAAAATTTGATATAATACATTTACCATTTAGAGAATTAAAAGTTTGATTTTTTTCTTGTACATTTTTTAAATTATTTTTAGTTATTAAATATTATAACTTATACTTTTACGTAATTTTTAAATATATAAATTTTATTTTATAAACTTAAAAATTCTATATTTAAATTAACATCACACATGTACTTCGAAATACATCACATAAAATGAATAGGACAGTACTTCTTTTCAGAAGGAAAAAAGAAGAAGATATTGCTCCCTTAAATTATTTTATTTGAACTAAAAAGTTTTTTAAGGAATGATTGAGAATGTAAGTAAAAGAAGGAAAACCTTTAAATACAAAGGGTGTAAAAACTGTTAGCCATTGCTTGCTTAAGTCCAGAGGCGGTCCTACAACAGTCAAGGAGGTGTCACGTGAATCCGTTAACTCCGACAAAAACTCTATATATGCATAATTGTATATACGTTGGGGATCCCTTAAATATTTTTCTTGGCCCCCTCATTAACAAAATTACAAGCATAAGCCTTGCTCCTTCTTACACGATGCGGGTTCGAAACTCGTCTGCTACAATTTTTTTAATGGTGCCTCCGTTATTCTCAAATCCTGGGTCCGCCTCTGCTTAAGACCATTGTAATAAACATATTGTATTAATTTTCTTAGACCTCGGGTGTCTCATACTATAATCTTATAGGAGTATCAAATAGTATTGAGTCAACTTAGATTTAGATATCTACCAAAAACTTGGATTTAGATAATTTATTCAGCCACATATATTAAAATCAAGATTAGCAAGCAAAGCTCAAACACCAGACTTCCACGTCTTAGGTAGAAAGTTTGACTTTGACCGTAAAAGTGTGGGCAATTTATTGTACGATATAAAAAAATAAAAATAAAAATAAAAACTATTATTATGGGGAAAGGAAATATAGCCTTTTATTTTCCCATTATAACAAGTGGTTATGCCATGACGTTGGGCGTTGGGGTGCAGAGGCGGATTCATAATTTGAAGTTTAAAGGTTCCTATTGTAATTACAAATTTTTATACGGTCGAATTCGGGCTCGTCTATTACATGACAGATCGGGCTCGGAACGTAAGGAATTGAATATCGACCCCGAGTCCCATCGAACTAGAACACGAGGTCAGAATTTCTGTCCTCGAGAACATCGGGTCCATGATCTTTGAATCTATCCTGACCCCGAACGAGCTCGAGGAAACATCGCCAGTATAACCAACAGAAGACCGTAATAACATAAGGCCGAAGTATCTGGGACCGGTCGGGTATTACAACGGGAATCGCGACACGTATCAATAAGAAACCGGCAAATCAGCAAATCAGGAGATTTTTAGCTTTTAATTGTACCTAAAGTAGGACTCCCCTACTATATAAAGGATGTCTGATTACTTGTAAAGACATATTGTTACATGCATCCCAAAACAATATAATATTATTTTCTTTTTGTAAGCTACTGTTCTTCTGTATCCGATATCATTTGAATTGCATCCCGTTCAAGTGAGACTTACTTTCCAAGGCTATAATTGTTCAAGACATACGGTTTGAATTTACTTTATCATTGTTCGCTTTAACTACAATTCAATTTATTGTTTTGTGTCAAATTAGTCCATGTATACTTAAAATCACTTACAAATTCAATTGTTATCCAATTTTGAGGGTAAACAGTTTGGCACCCACCGTGGGGTTAAGGATAATATTGGTTATTTGATACAAATTTCCATAATACACTCTATTTTACACTTGTTCTTTGAAGTGTCTCTGATTTCAGGTTTAAGCTCAAAATGTCAAATTCATAATCAGCACCCCTACACTTTGACAATGAGTCTGGTCACCACGGTGAAACTAACAACATAATGCCCAGTAACAAGGTGCCGCTCGTTGATCTCGTCGAAATTCCAGTTGCGGATCTGTTGGACGCTAACTCGCATGTGGCTATCAACACAAACCTGCCTACTAACCCCGAGAACAACATCCGTGGCGGAGCCCGATCGACGGTGCAGAATACTCAAAACAATGGGGGGATGAGATCAATCTATTGTCACACCTCCTTTTTACCACCTCAAGGGGGATATAAGTGAGTTTTTCAAATTTAAGTGACATTATCCGAAATCGGATTATTTTATTTAATTTTATTAGAATCGCCACTTGGAATAGTTTAATTGGTGTCCCAAGTCACCGGTTTATTTTGAAATCCCAAATCGAGGAAATTTCGACTTTATTTTAAAAATCTGCGAACCAAAAATTCTAAGTAAGGAATTCTGTTAACCCGGGGAGAAGGTGTTAGGCATTTCCGGGTTCCGTGGTTCTAGCACGGTCGCTTAAACTATTAATAATTGGCCTATAATCTGATTTATTACATGTTTTAACCTATGGTGCATTTTTAACTTTAGAACTGCTTTTAATTAATTTAAGTCGCTTTTAGGAAGATTCAACGTTATTTAAAACGCACCTTAAACCACACTACATGAAATGCACCCGCGGTTCGCGACACGTTCTATTTAAACATTGTTTTAGGAATTTAAATTAGGTCACATGAAATGTACACCCTGATTAAAAATCACAACTACGCTACGGGAACCGTACCCGTAGCTATGATGAATTATTAAAGAACGCGCCTAAAGCAACTACGAAGGTTCAAATTAACAACATTTGTGAGGGCCATGGAGAGTTTAATTGATGGCACACATCAATTTTAAAAAAATTGAATTAATTTTAAGAGGGCCATGAGTTATTAAATAGAAAATGGCACACCTCAAATGGTTTTAAAAGAAAACTTATTTAATTTAAGGCCACCTAAGAATATTCTTACTTGAAACTAACTTAAACTTATCAAAAGCTAAATGGGTACAAAACAGGTTCTCTTTAGTCGTTTTGGACAAGGGGAATGGGCCAGCAGTGGTCTTTAAAACAAATCAGTTTTGAAGCTTCAATTGGGTTTTCGATTTGGCCCAATAAATCATAAGGATTCTGGATATGTTGCTAGATCTGAACTAGGTAGCCCACATTGGGCTTAAATTTAGGCGGGCCCAGATGTTATATGCGTTTTAGTTGGGCCTATCTACCTCTAAGCTTAATAGCAACTAAATATCAGTTTTTGCATAATTAAAATAACATCAAAGCATGGAAATCAGATTGCCATCCAGTTTGAAAGTTAACTACATGATTTTCAAGGCAAGAAAAACATACACTTGAAGCATGATTAAAAAAATGGTAAAAACATCTAGATTTGGGCTTAAGACCTGGGCCCAATGGCCTAGGTCCAAATTCCTTTTCATTGATCAAATTCATTCGGGCTCTAAATTCAACCCTTCTCCAAATAAAAGTGGCACTACCTTTACGGATTGGGCTCAGAATTTAGCTCATTGTGCCGCTGTACTTTACGAACAGAAAAATGTGATAGCACACAGATACACTCTTTATGCTATTGTTCCAAACATCAGTAAACGAAATTAAAACCTTAAATTATTACAGCCCTTAAAAAATAAAATTTCTCCGGATCAATACATTGCAACCTATTAATACATGAACACTATGTTGATGACTAATCTATTAAAATTTTTGCATAACTAATGTCCTGAAGAATCTTGCATCTTTTGGACATGGTTTGTCCATTAGAGTTTAGTCCCTTCTTGTGCTACAAGAGAAGTATCCAAATGTCAGCTTCTGAACCTATTAATTTGGTCAATTGATGACTAAATCTGTAAGTACTAAGCCCCAAGTTATCCAACAGCTTTACAACCATTCTCATACTCAAATAATAGATGTAACACACCAATTTTAGTACATTATCAACTATCATATTTAACTCTAGGCCTTAACACATGCTGATTTGGACAATCAATGGCCAAATCTACAAGTTATGGTCTATTTGATTTCAAACAAGGCAAACATTATACCAAAGTTTTTTTTAAAACAAAAAAAAACAAGAAGGACATGAATAAACACTGAAAGAGCTAAAGCGTAGGAGAGTTAGCAGAAAGTTTTGACTTATGCAAGTCCATGTTTCCACATTTTAAGAAGTCTACATACTCAAACCCATACAAATAATCATATCAGTATATCTCTATATGCATTCATGTTAGTTAACTCCAGAATATGCTAATCAATAAACACAAAGGAAAAACATTCATTTGCTGCACACATTCTTATAAACTTGACACTTTATAGCTCATCAAACACAGCAATTACATTAAGGTTCGAATCAGTACCTTAAACAACAAAGAAAAGACCGGCAGTTATAAGTGAAGAAACTGTTGAGAACTTTGAAAGAAATAGAGCAGCAACAACACAACAGTCACCAGCAACCAAAATCCCGGGATTTCAAACCCCAAATAGCAACTTGAAACCAGAAGTTACCAGCTGAACAACCCCAAGAAACTTTCTATTTCAAACTCTTTTTTAACTTGTAAAGAATCAGAAGAAATGAGAATTTTGGAATTTTATTTTTAGATTTTTGGAATCTAAATTTTCAGAAAGAGAATGGAGCTTTTGCAGCAAAAATGCTGATGAATCCCTTTTTTGAATGAGATGACCTTACTATATATGGGTTGCCTAGGGGAGGGTATATTTTAAGCATATTCCTTATCCTAGGGAATAATAGTATTGCCCTTGGTACAGTTGTCCTATATTTCAACATCTTTTTGTAACAGCTAGGACAACTGTACCTTTTTCTAGGAAATTTCTGGTTTCTAGCCTAGGTAGAAACCCCTTTTTTACCCTTTAGGTTACTGAATATTTCAGCTTTAACCTAAACTTTTCCAAAATTCAAATAGGTCCCTAAAGTTTCGAATGATTTTCAGATTA